TGCTTATTTGAGGATAAATTGCGTCTAAATATGGGTGCACCCAAAAGTCTCTTCAGAGTGAAGCAAGACTATCTTCTCAAATGACAAATGGGTGTTGTCTGTTTGCTGGTGCTCTTCACAGCTCTGCATAGTAAGTAGAATAAGCCCAAATGAATAACATACCACTGCCTTGGGGGAGTTTATGGTATACAGATACAGTGGTTATTTAGCAGATGTCTCCTGATCCTGCAGGACACTTTATTATTGTGCATTTAACAGCATCTGGAGTGTTCAGTGCAGAAGGTGAATTTTCACATCCTGATGCAAGATGAAGAGAAGTCTGGGTCAGAATTAGGTGAAAGCTTGCTAAAGTCATCAGGACTCTTTCTTTTGACTTAAACAAGTTTTGGGGACCTGCTGTTCCATGCACAGAGAAGTCTGAGCAGTGCCAGGGAATCCGAAGTGTGAACAGGAGACGAGAAGCACAAGTGGAGGACAAAGACTCAGAAGGGTAGTGAATGAGAAGAGACAAGGACAGAGCTTAGAGTAAAGGAGAGGTAAAGAAATCTTTGAATGTGAGAATTTGAAAATTCTGCTTTGTGAGCGTGCAAGTTTGTGAATACAGTTCTATCACCACAAAATGCTCTTCCTTTGCAAATCTGTCACCCTCCTTGACCTACAATCATTTTGATAAGAGAGCACCAGGATCATGGAGATGAGGCTATTCATGCTGTTTAAAACCTTGTTTCAGAGTCCATTATGTGGGGTTTTTTTGGCAACACTAATATATATATAAGTTCTTCTGAATGCAATGGGAATCTGTGTGTTGCCATGTTTTCTTTTTCAGTTAGTAGGGTTTGGTCTGTGTTAGTTATTTGCATCCAGCAAAGGGTGACTGTAGGCTCAGATGAAAGAGCAGCTCAGCATTTATATTCGAGGATTTAAAAGAGATGAGCTCTTTCTTCCCACATGAAATAAAAAACATTTATCCTAGTACCTGATAGCTTCCACACAAATTTTTTTTCTCTTCAGTGTACTTCGGCCTTTCATTCTAAACTGGCTGGTAAGTGGAAGCTGACCCACTTTTATCTGGCGGCCTGCATTAATGTGCTTTTCTGGAAGCCAATTATATCATCAGCATTGCTCTGTAGAGAATTCCCAGCAACTCCACAGTATCATAACAGCTGCACAAAATCTCCCTCTAAGTCGTTTGCCAACTTTGTGCACATTTGTTAAACATGCAATACCTGCACAATACCTGCAGCACTGCTGATTGCTATAGGGAATCTATGCTGTATGTGAAAAAAGAAAAAAAAAAAAGAGAAAAAAAAAAAGTATTAATTTTGTCTTTAGCAGGACCTGGCATAGTACAATAATATTGCTAACTTGTGAAAAAAAATAGTTGTCTGAACTCATATTATTTCCTTTTCAAATCCTTTTTATTGTCAAAGCTCTGTTTATGTGCAAATCTGATACAAGTAGAATTTGCCTTTAAATACCATTAAAAAATACTATTTTATATGACAGTTTTCACCAGGAGAACATTCAAAACACAAGAATTTGCACTTTGTTTCCTTCAGATGTTCTGCAATTGAAAGGTTTGATACACAGTCTTCCCTCTGATTGGTTTGTGCTGTATCAGGATCATGAAGGGATGTTCTCTTTTGTAACTGGCATGAAGATATCGTATGTAAAAGTATGTCACTTACTCGATTGGTCCCCCCAGTTCTCTGACATAGCATGGCATAGCAGTGATGAAAACTATTCTGATCAAAGTGTGCTTTCCTACAGCAATTCGTAAGTGGTACCTCTAGATCATATTCCCGCCACCATAATCATCATTAGCCATTGCCTAGTGCCAAGGGTGGAGCAGTAGAAAAAATTACTTACATTTTCTCCTTTTCCTGAGGGCACTGTAGCCTGAACTTACATTAGCCAGACCTAGGAAACGAAATCAGGATTTATAAGGAATTTCTTTAAAAACTGGGAAGAAAGTTTTTGATCTGTGTATCTCTTGTGGTTGTCCGGTTCTTTTGTACCTAGCAGAGATATCCTGAGATTACTAAACAATTTAGGTTCTGTTGATAAGTGAAGCATATCAAGCCAGCTAGAATCCAGATAATTTTAATAGCTCATTAGGCGGATCTTTGGAGTTCCTGAATTCCAGTGCGAGTTGCACGTGCTCAGCAACTTTCTGGATCTGGTTCTTAATCTGTGATTGCAACAAGAAATGACTTGTTGGTAACTTCATACATTAAAAATTTTATCAGCCCTCAAACTGATAACATTAGGAGGCAACAAACCATGAAAATTAAAACAGTGATGATTTATTAAGGGCTGTTATTCAAGGATTATGTTCCTTATCAGGAATTATAATTAACAAAACTGTTCTCCTCCTTTAGCCAGAAATAGCCTATAATGATTTCCAGAGGCTATTTTGCTTATGGGTTTTTTCCTTGTTGTTGCTTCACGAAACCAAGAAATTTGCATCTCTTGTTAACTGAGATTTTTAAACTCCTTCTCATTACAATAGTGGATGTTGCAAGTAGCTTGCCAAAATCAATACCAACATTTAATAAAACCGCCAAATTTTTCTAATATCCTGACATGAGTAGCAGTGTAGTTTAGTTCAAAAGACAACGAGCTGGAGGTCAGGAGACTGGCTTCAGTCTCAGAACTGTCACAGACTCGATGTGGGACCTCAGACAAATTAATTCCCCTTTTGACGCTGGTGGTTTTTTTCCTCTACCACTAATGTAATTTCTGCCTAGACTGCACTCGCTCCTTAGCTTCTGCAGTACCTAGCACAGCAGCTGGGACCATTTGATACCACAGTCCAATTATTATATTAATAATAAATGAATTATACAATTGTAATCTTAAATTTAGCTGAATACCTGATTTTTCATTTGCGTGTTAGTTGATTGTCCCACCTGCCTCACTTCAGCTGCAGTCT